TGTTATTGACTGGCGCAGTCGGCACACAGCTGATCTGGAGAGGGTGCACGGTGATATTGGGGCGCCCATGCGTCTTGCACTCCCATACCGGCAACGTGAGCCTGCCCACCACGCCGAGCGGCCCATAAAACACAGCTGCCTGGCTGCCCGTCTTGTGCAACTCACAGCAGCTGCCATTTTCTGCTGCTAAGTGGCAAGGAAGCGGCTCCATGCTGGCCAGCTGGGCTTGCCGCTGCTGGAGCTGCTGCTGGCGCTCCTGCCGCTGCTGCGCCGCCCGGCCCGGCAGAGAGGCCAAGAAGGCATCCACGTCCGCTCCGAGCCGAGCCTCCCAGTGATCACGTTTGCGTCCTTGCCGGTCGCCCCAGCCTAAGAAGCCGCTGGGTGCTCGCTCATCCTCGTTGTCATCCCTCTCACCCCGCCGCCTGGCCTGCCCTGGCACATTGAAGGGAGCTTGTTGTCCTGGTCTACTTGCACGGGATCTTTTTGGCTGTGGCCCGTCTAGAGGCCTGGGGGCCGTGGTCTTGCTAACCACCTTCACCCTAAAGTGGTGGCTCATGTCCTAGAAAGCATATTACGGTTGCTGGGATGCCAACAGAACAAACGGGAGGGAGAATGATGCATGATTGAGGATGATGTCCCCAATGACCCTCCAGGTGGGGGGCCATCATGCCCATCATGGGGCACATCCTTACCGGGAGGCCTACCTGCGGCGCCGCACCTGGCATGCCATGGGGCTTGGGTGCTGCTGACGACTGCAGCAGGCAATCACAAATGAGCCAGCGAGACGCAGGCAAGAGAGCTGCGATTGCCCCGAACAACTCATGAACAGATTGCGCTCTGTTTGCTGCAGTTCTTCTATCACCCTCGCCGCTGCCTCCGCTGCACCGTCACTGACAGCGAGTGCGGGCAGGCTCTTGCAGTGATTTGCTTGCTTCCCTCCCTCCACACCTGCTCCTCTGCAATCCTTCAAGGCTGATTCAGGCACAGCGGGTGGTCCATGCTGGCTGTAGCGCAGCAGCCTGCAATCCAGGGCACAGGCAACAGCGGCTGCCGGTGTGACGGTAGGTGGGGGTGGTGGCAGGCGTCCTCCGAATCTAGAGATCCCGCTTCCCCTCTGCCCCGCTCCCATGCATGCCCCAACGACAGGAGAGCTGGTGTTTGCCTGGAACGGGCTCCGCCCAAAGCACGAACCTTCTGGGAACCCCCTCCAGCTGGCCGCCCTTTCCACGCCCCACGCGCTTTTATCACGGATTCGCTCGGTTCTGCTGCCTCAGTCCCTCGTTGCTCATACAAACAGCCGCGAGACCCCCCCGACAACCAGGTGTGTGGTCGGCTTTGTGTGGTGGCATCAAACACATGCTGTGCCCGCGGGCCGCTGCCCCAACCCGATCGGGCCCCTGCTGGTTCGGGATGCCTTGAATCGCGCCCCGCGCCTTCCTGCGGAACCCCTGGGCGAGGCCGAGGCCCCCCTCCCACGGCATGCGCTGGTCGGTCAGTCGCTGTGCTTGTTCCAGCCGTGCTCCCGTCCATCCAACGCATCCCCACGATGGATGGCCGAGGCGGCGGGACGAGCAGCTGTTTGCCATGAATGTGCCCACTCCCCGCCGCCGCTGGACGCATGCCGGGCGCTGTCCCGGTGTCCCTCGCGCCCTCGAGGCCCCCCACCCACTCCCTGCCCTCGGCACTCCTTCCCTCGCATCTCCCAGGGCGCATGTACTCTCCCCTCCCTGTGTACATGCGCCCCCAGGCTTTCCATCCCCCCACAACCCACCAGCTGCACCATGCCCACCCCCGCCCCACCCCGCCCCCTCCATGCAGGCACGATGCGCGTCGCCGCCATCCTGCTCGCGCTATGCCTGTGCGCGGCGCTGGTCACCGCCGACGTCGACGACACCGATGACATCCTCACCGACACCACCGACACCACTGACCACGACGACCACGACGACGGCCCGCCCGCCAGCTGCGGCGCCTCGGGCGTGGCTGGCGGCTGGTCCACCATCTCCAGCAACGTCTCCTCCACCCTGCTGGCCGCCGTGCTCGACGACTTCTCCACCCAGTACGGCGCCAACATCACCGCCATGCTGGGGGGCGCCTCGCCCTGCCCCGCCGAGGACATCACCTACTCCGCCGCCGGCTGCTCCCAGGTGCGCGGCACGCCCTTGTGCGCGGCACGCCCTGTGCTTCCTGCGCCGCCGCCTGGCCTCCCTCCCCCGCCCCGATCGCCCGCCCCATCGGCCAGCTGAGCATCCAGCATTCAGCAGCCCTGGCCCCACCCTCGCCGCCCCTTGCGCCCTCCCAGGTGGTGGCTGGCACCAACTACAAGCTGTGGATCAACATGAGCTGCACCGTCGGCACCACCAACTACACGGTGAGCCCCAGGTGTAGCACCACAGCTGGGCCCGCAGCATCCACTTGCTCCTTATGGGGCGTAACATACAGACAGACAGCGCTCCAGCCTCGACGCTGGCAGCCAGGGAGGAGGCCCAGGCCCGGGTGGTGCCTCGCAGGGCGCAGCCGCCTGGCCTGATCAAAGAGCCTGCGCGCGTGCCTGCAGGTCGGCGTGAGCGTGGATGCCTTCGAGCCGCTGCCCACCGGCAACGACACCACCATCCAGGTGGGTGTGATGCGTGCTGGGCTGGGAGCGCACCGCGCCATGCCATGCGGCTCCTGCCTGCTTGCTGCGCAACAGTCCACCACCTCGCACCACGCCGGCAGCGCCTCCTGTCCCCCGCCGGCAGCACGCCCCAGCAGCCTCCCTCCTCTCGCCTGCCCTCCCAGCCCGCCCCCACCTGCCCAACTAGCCTCGCATCCTCTCTTCCCTCCGCAGATCTACGACCTTGATGTGGAGTTTGTGACTGTGAATGGCGTGCACATGGAGTGAGCCCCTTCCCTTGGCTTGCCGGCATGCACGCCAGCATGGCTGCGCCTGCATGTGCCACTTAGCTCGCAAGCGCGCACAGCAGCAGCCCTGGCTGGGCGCTGCCCAGGCCTGCACCCAGCCGCAGCCCGCCCCAGCGCCAACCTCCTCACCGGCGCGCACGCTTTCTTGGCTGCCTGCAGCGACGACGCGTTCCCTGATGACCCCGACCGCTGGGATTACAACTCTACCGCCGGCGGCATCATCGCCAACGACGACTGGTGGGTTGAGCTAGGGGACCCAGCGGCGCAGGCGAGAGCTAACCCTGCTTTGCCTTCACGCTTTGCCTTGAGGACAGGCCGCTCAACCTGACCTTCAGACTGGCAGGTCTGAGCTGAGGCTTCAATAAAATAAAAAATAAAATGCCCCTCTGCCTTCAGGGTGGACGATGATGACACCGACCTGGACGATGGCATCAACGACATCGATGACGGTGTCACCGACATCGACGATGGCATCACCGACATCGACAATGGCATCACCGACATCGACAATGGCAAGACTGACCTGGACGATGGCATCAATGTGAGTTTGTAATGGCATAACAGTTGCTTCACAATGCACGCGCACTGGCTGATGGGCCCTCATCAGCCACTGGCAGATGGATGATGGGCCCAAGCATGCTTCCCTTTTGCCCAGTACAACCGCTGAATCAGTTCAATCTGTTTTGTTTTCCTGTAGGACATTGATGACGGAATCAACGACAATGATGGACTCGGAGACAATGACCGCTAGGTGGCCAAAGCAGATATTGCTTAGAGAGTGGGACAACCGGGCACATGCCTTCAACCATTGCACCCTCTGCGCCGCCACCCCCTACCCCACCGTTGCGTTGCGCCCATTCTGCCAGCGTGCGGCGAGGGTTGTCTGAACCATTCTGAGCTGCCCCATTGTGGCTGCTCGCCTTCCCCCTACATTTGCCATTCCGCTGGGCTGCATGCGCATCGGTGCGCCTCACTCCCAGTCCCTCATTCCCCCCCCCCCCCCTGTTGTGCCGACACGATAAGCCGAAGCCCCCCACGCCCCTTTGTGCTTTCACCCTTATCATTGCTTGTGGCATGGGCACGGATCGCCCCCTTCGCACGTTTGGCTGGTCTCATTGCACTGCTGATTTCTGCTGATCCCCTGTAACCTGTGCACATTCAACCCAGGCCAGCTTTGACCTAATTAATGGGTTCCGTGGGCCAGTTCTTGGGCCAGACATGGGCCAGGGGAGTGATGGGTGAACCGAGGACAAACGCAGCAACTAGCATGTATGCATCATTGATGCTCAGGTGCAGCTGGGTGTGTTGGCAGTTGGTGTTTGATGGCGGGGTTGTGATCACGCTCTAAACTTCAATGCTGCTCTCAATCAGTGCCTCTCAACGCAATCAGTAGCTGACAGCAGACGCAGCCGGCACCTCTGCAAATGAGCTCAGGGTGTTGGTGCGCTCCTGGCGGCCATACCCCTTGGCAGCTGGCAGCGCCGGCTCCGCAACTGGCAGCGTCGCCAGCACCGCCCCCACCAGGGGGTCCAGCTGGCGCCCAGCCGAGGCCGCGGCTGCCGCTGCCGCTGCCGCTGCCGCGGGCTCGCTGCTGGCGCTGGCGGGCGCCTCACACACTGCCAGGCGGGCCATCAGCTGCTGGCCGCGCAGCACCAGGGTGCAGGGCAGGCGACCCACGCCCAGCGCAGAAACGCTCGTCGGTTTGTGCTGCGCCCTCGGGTTTGTTGGCCGGTCACACACGAAGTGGCGCCCCCCCCTCAGTTGGCAAGCCATATGCATGTGATGAAAATGATCAGGGAGTATTGAAGATGATTGATGATGGATTAACGGGATGAGACTGACATTGGCCGCTTTGCAGCGGCCAATGTCTGTCCGGATGACCAGGCGGACTCCACCGGATGAGGCTCCGGTCTCCTTCTTGCACAAACAGATGAAGAATGATCGAAGCCCACTGCTCGCCTTGGTTTAGAGGGAGCAGGATAGGCGGCGGGAGGGCTAGACACCAGGTATCTTGGCCATCCTTAATGGCGGCGCTCCACCGCCCTTTCGCTGCGCATTCGACGGTGGCCAGCCCGGCCTTCAACACGGCACCCTGCAGTGCCCCTCCAGCCTGTTGATAGCCAGCACGTGATCCCCTCAGCCCTCTATGGGCTGCCGCCCCCCTGGCTCAAGGGCACGTGTCGACAGGCGCCGCACCTGGCATGCCATGGGGCTTGGGTGCTGCTGACGACTGCAGCAGGCAATCACAAATGAGCCAGCGAGACGCAGGCAAGAGAGCTGCGATTGCCCCGAACAACTCATGAACAGATTGCGCTCTGTTTGCTGCAGTTCTTCTATCACCCTCGCCGCTGCCTCCGCTGCACCGTCACTGACAGCGAGTGCGGGCAGGCTCTTGCAGTGATTTGCTTGCTTCCCTCCCTCCACACCTGCTCCTCTGCAATCCTTCAAGGCTGATTCAGGCACAGCGGATGGCCCATGCTGGCTGTAGCGCAGCAGCCTGCAATGGCACAAGCAACAGCGGCTGCCGGTGTGACGGTAGGTGGGGGTGGCGGCAGGCGTCCTCCGAATCTAGAGATCCCGCTTCCCCTCTGCCCCGCTCCCATGCATGCCCCATCGACAGGAGAGCTGGTGTTTGCCTGGAACGGGCTCCGCCCAAAGCACGAACCTACCCCCCAGCTGGCGGCCTGCCACGCGTACGCCCACGGCGCTTTTATCACGGATTCCCTCGGTTCTGCTGCCTCAGTCCCTCGGCTGCTCATACAAACAGCCGCGAGACCCCCCCGACAACCAGGTGTGTGGTCGGCTTTGTGTGGTGGCATCAAACACATGCTGTGCCCGCGGGCCGCTGCCCCAACCCGATCGGGCCCCTGCTGGTTCGGGATGCCTTGAGTCGCGCCCCGCGCCTTCCTGCGGAACCCCTGGGCGAGGCCGAGGCCCCCCTCCCACGGCATGCGCTGGTCAGTCAGTCGCTGTGCTTGTTCCAGCCGTGCTCCCGTCCATCCAACGCATCCCCACGATGGATGGCCAAGGCGGCGGGACGAACAACAGTTTGCCATGAATGTGCCCACTCCCCGCTGCCGCCCCCCTACCCACTCCCTTGCAATTGCCCTTGGCCTTCCTTCCCTGGGAGATGCGAGCTTCTCCCAGGGTGCCTGTAGTAAACCCCTGTGTACATGCACGCCCAG